ATTATGCAAACCAAGATGTGACTCCAAGGATGTGAGCAATGTCTGGATACAACAACAGGTGCCTGATAAGAGAGGAGGAAGCCCAGACCTTTCATCTGAGCCGCAGGAGCAGCGAGGGCTTCACTGGGAGCACAGATAAGGATTCTCAGTCAGCCCCAGGGCAGTTTGCAGAGCTTATGAGGTGATTTCATAACAGGAGGGGACGTGCTGCCCGTGCCAGGGCCTGGCTGCCAGGAGAGGCTCCTGCTGCGTGCCAGGGCACCTCACGGCAGCCCAACAAAGCTGGGGATATTCCCGAGTGCCCCTGCATGGTGAGCCCAGCACTGCCTCCCACCCACACAAAATCCAGGCAGTGACACCCAGCCATCCATCCCGGTCACAGCACCAGGCTCCTCTCGCTTCCCACAGGCTGGGTCCCAGAGGGAAGCTCTGAGGGAGGTGGGGAATCCCAGGGAGCCCCAGGCCCCATCAGCTCCCAGGTTCTGCCAGTCTCACACATTCAGCCCTGTGAGAGCAGCACCCAGCACCCCACAGCTGAGCAGGCACTGCTGGCTCCCGGCTGGCACCTCTGCTGTGGCACCTCTGCTGTGGCACCTGCTCTCTGTTTGGCAGCTCGTTGCCACTGCAGGCTGTGCCCAAAGGCCCACGATCCCACTGCTTTCCCAACACTTGTGTGATCCCACAGAAACCCCTCTCACTCGTCTCCATGGCAGAGCAGCTCAGGAACTGCTGGTTGCAATGCACCAGGGGAGGAGAATTCCTATAGCAACATCCAAACAATTGCTCTGACTTATGTATGACAGATACCTGGCACAATCCAGCAGTACTTATCAGCAGGACTCATCCTTCCTACTCTGCCTATGGCACCAAGCAAATCAGGAATATGGGATTCTGGAGCAATGCATTTCCATGCAAGCAGCACATTGTGTCAGCGGATTAAAGGAGAAACTTCGGTTTTCCAGGTTTTATCAATTATTTCTAACAGGTGATAAGGTCTGAAATTCTCACTTTTCATTTTTAATAGGAAAATTTAATCTAAAGTTTCCATATTTATAACACGCACAGCAATGGTGAAGTAAATAATGAGAAGGAATTTTTCATCTTTTCTTCTCCTTCTATCACCAAGAGATGGCAGAACCACCCATGTGGGCATCCTTTGGTTCTGAGAGGCCAGGCCAAGGTTACAAACCACCTCCTCCACAAGAACCTGCACCCACTGCCAGCAAATCAGCAAATTGCAGAGGCCGGATCAGCTGAGACAGGGAGGGAGCTCCTTCCTCAGCCCTGTTACGGTAAGGCCCGACCCTGCCAGAAAGGATTTGGAGGAGCACGAAAACCTCAGCAGATAAAGTCCCCACATCTGCTCTTGATCCAGCTCAAAGACAGCAGAGTGCCAAGTGGGCCAGGGCCGAAGGCAGAACACGGCTCCTCGCTCAGAACGCCTCTGAAGCCCCAGCTCCGCGTTCCCCAGGGGGTTGCACTTTCACTTTCCTAAATTGCCTGCATATTTGCTTTTTTCTGATGGCAGATTAGGAACCGTGCATTTCCTTAAACCGCCAGCTTTGGGCCAAGACACACACGGCCTGCCTGGAGCCGTGCCAGCCCACACAGCGGAGCAGGGCTGGAGAACCACGCTCCGGAGCGAGCTGCTCCAAGGGGAGCCCAGGCTGCCAGCACTCACACCCAGCCCTGCCAGCCTGCTCCCAGGATGTACCAGAACCCAACTAAAGGGCTTCAGAGGCAAAGCAAGTGCGGCAGCAGCACAGCTCATCCCAGAGAAGAAATCAGCATCAAAAATCTGCAGCCATTTCAGGGTTTAAATGGGCATGAAATGAGCGAGCAATTAATTTCCTGCACGAGGAAGGAACGCAGAGCTCAGTATCAGCAGCACTGCCAACGTGGATAAATTCATTACATGTCCTGGGATAAGGGGTATTTCCCTAAAGCCTCAGCTTCCAGAATCCCACAAGGATGACACAATGCTCCTCCCTGGCACTGCAGAGCCCTCCCGACAAGGAACCTCCTCCCCACGGGCACAACCTGCTCTTCACAGCAGCATGAGGAGATCTGGGGAGCAGATCGAGCATCAGCAGAGGTGGGGACACCCCATCCCTCCCCTGCCCAGCCCAGCCCAGCACACAGGCATCTCCAGCTCCCCCTGTTTCAGAGGGATCCAGAGGAGCCAGGAATCTGCAGAGTGCAGAGCATCCACCACCCTCACCCTGGGCTTTTGCCTCTGGATCCTGAGCCAGAGCAGAGCCCACTGGCACCAAGGGGAAGAGCAGCTTGGAGGAATTCACACACAATTCCAAATCCACACACAGTTCCAAACCCACACGCAATTCCAAACCCAAAGCCGTGTATTCCTGAGCACAGCAACCAGGCTAAGGTCTAGCAAGAAACACCTTTGTCCACAGGGGACAATTAGTCCAATCATGTTTTCAGCACATCTTAAGGAAGAGATGACTTAGCTCCAAGATTTACAATCTCCTAATTCTCTGCCCGAAAAGGTTTCATCCATCCCCGGCCCTACCAGCAATATTCCCCTTTTCCCTCCCGAGAGCCGCACAGCCAGAGCCCATTTCCTCCTCACTCCTTCACACCTGGATAATGATTTTTGTTTCCCCTTTCGGTTTTATTGCTGGGGGTTCCAGGAGAGCAGGGCCGGCAGGGCAGTGCCCGGCGGGCTCTGGGGTTCCAGGCTCGGGCAGCAGAGCGGCTCGGCAGGGGCCGGGGCTCGCAGGGAGATGCTCCCCCTGGAACAAAGGGCTTCCCCCGGGCATTGTGCCCGCGGGCCCGGAACACAGAGCTCGGCATTCACAGATAAAAGCCTTGAATTCAGAGCGCTTGACTCTCCCACTGCTGCCACGTTACAGAACACTGGCAGCACTCCAATCAAGGTGCGGAATTTATCCTGTGCCAGTGTTGTAAAACGATGGGATCAGAGATTTTTTGTGCTCAGGAATTTGAGTCTCTCAGCTTTCGGCTGCTTTCCAGCATGAAATACAGCACGACGATGTTTTTTTCATCTTTTCTTCTATACAAGCTTTTTTAAAATCACATTTTCTTCCATTATCTCTTCATTTGCCAATTTCCAAAATCACGGACATCGAATTTCTCTGCCTGCCTCTACTTCCAGCAGTACTTCACTGCAAAGAGCACAACCAGTAGCAAAGCAACACTTTTACCAACCACCTCCTATTTATTTCCAAAAGCACCCAGCTGATAGATTTGAAGGCCAGTAAGATTTTATGCAACCTTCTGGAAAAGCTGTTCTTTAGGGAGTCTCCATCTTCCGTCCTTTCCTTGTTAAATTGCATTTGCCCATGACCCACAATACGGCTCCCACTCAGAAACGCGTCTGCCCTCGGAGACAAACACACCTAAGGAAATGATCAGGCTCAGAGCACTGCTCTTGGAGGGAGAAATCCTTCCCGGAGAAAGAAATCTGCCTGGTTTTGTAATTGCGTTAACATACATTGTTTGTATTAGCACTAAATAAATAAACAACGGGGTTTTACTCAGTGTTGTGCAAGCTTTGAAATATACACGCCATAAACGCGGCAGGAAATGAGCAGGGCCTTGCTTTGTGCTCTGCAGATGACTCCTCGCAGATATTAAAATACATCATTAATGCATTTTCAGGAAAGCAACCTGTCTGCGAGGCTCCTGGGGGAGCGCACGGCCCGAGGCCCCACCTGCGGCCGCTTCCGCAGCAGCTGCAGCGGAGACCGTGCCCGGGGCGAGCGGAGACCGTGCCCGGGGCGAGCGGAGACCGTGCCCGGGGCGAGCGGAGACCCGGCCCGGGGCGAGCGGAGACCCGGCCCGGGGCGAGCGGAGACCCGGCCCGGGGCGAGCCGAGACCCGGCCCGGGGCGAGCGGAACCGGGGCACGGAGGGACGGGCAGGGCTCCGCACACGCTCGGGCAGGGCTGTCCCCGGCACGGAGCCGCAGCGCTGGGCTAAGGATGGGTGGGAAGCCCCAGGACCCGGCTGCGGAGCTGGGAGAGGCTCCCCAAAAACCTGAACACGGGCAGAGCTGCGGAGCTGGGAGAGGCTCCCCAAAAACCTGAACACAGGCAGGGCTGCGGAGCTGGGAGAGGCTCCCCAAAACGCTGCACACGGGCAGGGCTGCGGAGCTGAGCAGCGCATCCATGGCTTCACGTCCATGAAACGGGAGCAGCTGCTGGCGCTGGGTGGGTGTGGGGAACCTGCGGCTCTACGCCACCTCCTCTTCTCCTCAGGAGAGAAAAGCCAAGAAATAAACCCACAGGTTGCACATACATCACTCTGGGGGGGTTGTGCTCGCGTTTTCACCCAGGTGCTGCCACAGGCACCAGCACAGGGACGGACACGGGTGTGTGACGAAGCTGGGGAGAACGGAACAAGCCGCAGCTCTCAGCACCGGGAAACGAAGCCGAGCGCTAACGATGGGAGAACCGTTCCCATCGTTTCACTCGTGGTCACGCACCCCAAAGTGGGGATGGCCAGAACCTCCAGCCGAAGGTGCCCCTGTCCCCCCCGGCTCCCGGCGAGAGGCGCTGCCCGCGCTGCCGCCCCTCGCCCGCTCCCGGCGGGGTGCGGCCCCCGGGGCGGCGGCCGGGGATGCCCGAGGGGCCGGGGGCGCCCTCCCGGCTGCTCCCCGGGATCGGGCCCGCAAGGGAGGGGGCTCGGCGGTGCCCCCCGGCCTCGGGTACCCCCCACCCCCGCCGTTACCTCCAGCCCCGGGCGGGGGGCGCGGTGCATGCGCAGCTGCCGCTGCCCTTCATTCATAAAAAAAAAAGGGGGGAAAAAACCCCGGGAGCCGCATCCGCGCTCCCCTCCAGCCCCCATTCATAAAAGGCAGCGGAGCATGCGCGCTGCCGCCGCGGTGCCCACCCATTCATAGAGTCGGGCGGCAGCGCATGCGCACTGGCGGCCGCTGCCCTCCCATTCATAAAATAGCCATTTTCCCAGGCAGGCGGGCGGGTGCAGCGCCGCGGCCGCTGCTGACAGCGCCGCGCTCGCAGGTCCCTGCCCGCAGCTCTGCCGCCGCTGCCAGCCTGCTCCCGGGTCCGGCCCCCTCGTCCGCCTCGCCTGTGGGATTAACTCGCCTATGGAGACATGGTCCTAGCTGAATTATTTAAAGTAAGTACGAGATCGGTGCTTGCGAGCAATTGTTAAAATGTTTTAAGTAGAAAAAAAGCCAAGCCTGCTCCCCGAGGGAAAATCCTGCGCTCGTTCTAGATGTGTTGGGCTGCTCCTTACAGATCGCTGATCAGGAGCATATTTCTGGCGATGACTTTCCTGACAGTGATTAGCTATAATTATGTACAGTGGAGAGCTGCCTGGTGCTTCCCAGCCCAGAGGAGACTTGGCATTCTGGAGAAATATCCTGTTTCTTGCAGAATTTCCATTTGTGTCCCTGCGTCTCTGATTTATACCTCTTTTCTGCGTTCTCCCATCAACATCTGCATTTGCTGTACATATATGGCAGGCAGGTTTCAGCACACTTGAGTCGGGTTTGTTTGCAGGCTTTTACAGCAGAATAAGTGGCTTTTTTCTGCTGATGGGATGTCTTCTCCTTCATCCCTCCTTCCTTCCCCGAGAAGGAGCATAAATACATGGTCACCTGGCCTGACAAGTCAGAATTGGATCTTTCTTGCTGTGGAATGGATTATCCGCATTTCCTCTCTTTCCCAAAGCCCTGTCTTGTGAGTGTCAAGTAGTTTTCGGCTGTCTCCATAATAGGACACTTCAGAAATCAGCCACTCATGTGTCAGACCTTTCCTGCATGACCTTTGCTCTTCAGCATTTTATTTCATACAAGCCTTTTTTTCAATTTTTTGGCCTCAGTGCCTTATTCCATCACTGTTCTTCCCTGTCTTGCTGTACACTTGCTTTAAATCTGGATGGATGCTGTATTTTAAAGGCTAGATGAGTAATAAAAATGTGTACCTGGAATAACTTCATCTAATCCATGAAATATTTTATGTATGGAGGAAAAACCTGTGCTGGCTGCTCCTTCCTACCAACTGCGTAGCAAAGATAAGCCAGGATTTTATTTTCTGGTACCAGTCCTGGCGTCACAGGAGAAAGACAAGCCTGGAGACGACATGTTCTGAAAATTCATTATCAGGAGGGGAATGGAAAAAGCAGAAAGGGGCACATAAAAGGCACAAAGGTCTTAGAGGAAAGCAGGACTGGGAATGCAGACCTTGGAAATGGCAGTGCAAAGGAATACCACGGGGAAAAGGCTTCCCTCTTTCACCTCCAGTTACCGAGGGTCTGACTGCTTCATTTCAGGCTTTTGTAGCCCCAAGTTTTTCTTTAAAGGGTGAAGGAAAGAATGAAAGAGAAAAGGAAAAGCATCCCTGCATTATCCAGAGTGGAAAAGGCACGTTCTAGATTCTTTACAACTTCTCCAGCTGCTGCCTTTCCTCCATACCATGCCAGGGGGACAGCATGGCAAGAAATTGCAGTTTAATTAGGTAAAGAGGAACTCAGCCTTCCCAATATTACAGCTTCCCCTCTCTGCCTTTATTTTGGGTTAAAGAATAAAGCTCCAATTTGTGCACGGAATCACAATGATCCCGATGACTGGCTTCCCCCTTGTCCATATAAAAATGAATGATAGCAGGAGGAGGAGTTGTTCTCAGTTATTGGAACCCCACTGGGGATGTCTCGTTGATAAATGTGCCCTTTTCCATGGGCTGCTGTGTTTTCCCTTGCTGGAAGGGACTCTACATTGGGATGATAAAATTAAAAGGACCATTTCTGAATACTGCAGTCCTTTTGAAATTCTCCATGAGGTATGTGCAGGGGAGAAATTATTTGTTCTCCTCCTGAAACAGCAAAACAAAAGCTGTTTTCCTGGAATCATGACTAATTCCCAAACCATACTGGGGAATGCAACATCTCAAAAAGCAATTCCTACCCCCCCCAAAAAAAAATCCTGTTCTCAGACTTCGGTGAAATAAAATTCACATTCCTTACAACACTACAGCAATAATTAATTACCAGTTCTGACAGTTTTCATAAAATTAAATGTGAAAGAAAAAAATTCATTCATCACATTGCTATATAACTTCCCAGCTTCAGCCCAGTAGTAAAAGCCATGTTTTTACAGGCAAACAGTTGCACAAGTGTTGTTTTTTTATCCTTTTTCAATGCAATTTCCCCAAGAAAATCTACAATCCTTCCAACAAGGTTATCATTCAGCACCATTAGCTAATAGATCATATCTGAGCTTAGTTTTCTGACCTTAAAATAAATGTTTTTGTCCAGTAAAAGGCTTTGACTGAGAAATCCAAGTCCCCGGAGATCTGAATGCTAGTGGGCCAAAATGTGCTTTATTCACTCGCACCATAGGAACAGACTTTAGCTGGACAGAGACAGCTTCTTGGAAGTCTACAGGTCTCATTTCCCAGCTCCTGAATTTCCACACTCTGGCAAGAATTTAGTGTCTCGTTTTAAAAATGGCAGGTTTCCCTAACAAGCTTTCTAATTTTTTTCCTGCCTTACTGCTTGTAGAGAAGATTCTAGCTGGCCTTAGCTAGATAAGGCTGCTGAGGAGGGGAACAAAAAGAATGAATGTCAATATTTTGTTAATATTAATACACACTTTAGGGGGGAAAAGCTTTTTTTTCCTTTTTTTGAAGCATTTACAGCTCGACTCAAAATCCAGCCAGCCGAACCCAGCCTTAATGAACTCCAACCTTATGAATTATTCTTAATCTCACATTAAAAACATGTGCTTGCTGCAAGGTCTCCTTTAACTACCTCTGAGAGTAGTCTTCCTCATTAAAAGCTTTAATTGAGCCCTGTGGCTTGCCCCAGGAGCAGAGTGTGCCCTGTCACCGCTGGCAGGCCTGGACAGGAGCATGTCCTTAATGCCAAAGAAAGGCAGAATCTGCTCCCCTGCCTCCAGCTCCTCCTCTGCAGGGCCCTGGGGAGCAAATCCTTTACTGATCACTTGGGGGGACCCTGCCCTGTCCCCCAGCACCCTGCCCTGCCCAGTGCTCAGGCCCAGCACCTCCAGAGGAGCTTTTTAACCAAAAAATGCTTTTTAACCACACCACCAGAGGAGACAGGCTGGGGGTGACAGGTCAGATTTGGCACTGGCTGCCATCGATTCTGAGCTCTGCTGCCTTGCACAGGCCTGGAAATGTTTCTGCCCCCCCCCTGGCATGACACTGCTTCCAATGTATTGCTTTCAATTATGATCATTTCCTGTATTAAGACTAAATATTCTATGCTTTGCTTGTTTTCTTCCTCTCGCACTGTATTTTCAGAAATTCGTGTGTCCCAGAGAGCAAAGAAAATAAACCAATTTTTGCAGTGCATTTACTGCAACTATTGCTGCCTCTGTGTCAATGGGTGACTGTCACAGCTCTGCCACAGACTAATTCAATTTTTGTATTGGCAATGGAGTCACAGAATGGTTTGGGATGGAAAGGACCCTAAAGCCCACCCAGTGCCACCCCTGCCATGGCAGGGACACCTCCCACTGTCCCAGGTGCTCCAGCCCTGTCCAGCCTGGCGCTGGGCACTGCCAGGGATCCATGGGCACCCACAGCTGTGCCAGGGCTCAGCATCCTCATAGGAAACAATTGCTTCCTGTAATTTAATCTATCCCAGGTCTAGCATCAGTGCCCCAGAGCAGATGTGATCCCTCTGCAGTGCCAGGATTCTGTGAGTTGCCTGGTCTGACCCAAAGCAGATCCCCAAGTGAGCAGCTCAGCTCTTACCCTGTCCCAGTGCAGGGCTCAGCCTTCCATCAGTCCATGGCAATTTCTCCATCCCTTCTTCACAGAAGCTTGTGATGCTTCAGCAGTTGGGAAATTCTTGGAAACCTGTGATTGAAAATTCATGTTGCAGCATCAAATTGGCTTTATTGTGTTTACAGTTGGACTTGACGATCCTGAAGGTCTTTTCCAACCCCACCAATTCTAATATAAGATGGAGACTTTTTGTGCACAGTGCTCCCCATGCCCCCCAGCACCACTATAACCATTTGCATTTAAAAGATATCGAATACATGTAATGGTCCTGGAGGTGCCACCAGCCCCTGGCAAGGGACAGCAGCTCCCTGATGTGCCAGGGCACAGCCAGGCTCCAGAAAGGAGCCACCAGAGATGCCACAGGACATGGAGGGGACAATCCAGTGCCAGCCACCCCAGGAGAAACCTTGTTTTGCTGAGGCTCCTCCTGCCACCAGTGCTGCCAGACACAGCAGAAGGGACAGGCTGCTCATGAGGTGTAATTAAGGTGTAATTAATTAGAGATGAGTGGCCCCTGATCTGGAGCACGAAGCTGACAAGGACAGGAGGGGTTTGGTGGCTGCATCACTTCCCTGGGGGTCTCTCAGCCAACACACCCAAACAGCACATCTGGGGCTTTTTGGTTTGCTGTGACATTTGAGATTCCCCTTAGACATTTCTTGTGTCCAAAAAGGGTTGGCCAAAACTGTGGGGCCTTGTACCTGGTGCTGGCTGCAGAGGAGGAGCTCAGGGAAGCTTTTCCCATTTTCCTGCTGGGGATGTGGCAGTCCTGGGTTGCCCAGGATTGCTTCCACATGGGACCCTCCTCTGGATTTAAGTCCCTTACTCTTGTTATTCTTTTATTACCACAAACATCTAGAATATTGTTAAACATGTGAGAAAGAGCTTATTAAAATTATTAACCGGTGGGTGACTCAGCTAGTTAAGAACATTAGATATTACTGCACTCACTGGATTTTTAAGTCAAGATCCATTTTGTTTTTCAGTTACTGGAAGATTTGTTGTCCAACTCCACTCTGAAAATAAAGATATCAGAACCTTATTCTTTCAAAGCTTGTTCAGAAGACATTAATGAGAATGAGTTTTCCTGAGGGTTTGCTTTCTCATGGAATTGCCTACAAGGACAAAATGATGCAGGCAAATCCAAAATCCTACTAAACATAAAATGACTTTTGTTTTAATTTCATCTGATTTCAAAACCCTACAAAACTTTTGAGTATGAAATAACACCAAAACACTTTACAATAACAGTTGGTTTCCTACAACTTTAGGACTTGCAATTACCAGTACAACAGTAATTTTAAATTGGCCATATCTTGATGAAGAGATGGAACAAACACTGCAACACGTGTATGAACTTGACTTTGGAGTCCAATTTTACTCCCTGGGAAGGAAGTATATTTTGACTTGAAAATTGTATGTGGTGAGTGACTGTACAGTCATGGGGGAAGAGAAATTTTTTTCTGCATGGGAGTTTGCTGCCTTGAAAAGAACCTCATTGTTTGCCTCTAAAGAATGAAAAACTCCCTGTATAAGAAGATAGTCAAGAATTTTTCTTCCTGTTGTCTACTTTAAGAAAATTATCTGTACAGTGAATTTGTGCCTGTGCTGTAATACATCTGTAATTACCTGTGATCAAAAATTAATTAATTCTGTGTGCTGTATGGCTTTTTTTCCTCAATGGAAATGCAGTTTATAATCAGGATTAGTGCAGTGGACAGCAAAGATCCCTAAGGTTGCACCCCTCAGCTCTTTACTCTGTCAGGGTCTAAAGCTCTGCCAGGTTACCCCAAACATGAATTCTGATTTGGGATCTGGCTGGATAAGCTTTATAAATTCAGTTTATGAGGTGCCCAGGGCACACAGACACACCCTGGAGCAGAGCCCAGGGCAGAGGAGCCTCCTGGCCCGGTGAGCAGCACCCAGCTCACTCCACTCTGCACCCGCGGGCTCTGACCTGGATCTGTCACCAGCAATGTCCCTGCACTGCTGGAACTTCTGGTGACAAGGCCAGCAGCAGCAGCAATGGAGTCATGGTCCTTGGAAAATTCCATAAATATCAGAAACGTTTGTCTGCTGAGAGCAGCTAACTGCAGAAACCTCTGCTCAGGAGGGAGAGGGCAGGGCAGAGAGTGAAGGACCGCGTGTGCAAGCACCAAAACCTGTCAGGGTGCACATCTGTGGTGGTTTAAAGGTGATTTTGATTGAGCCGGAGAAACACTGTGACCAGAGCAGGGGGCTGGCAATGGGGAGAGATGGGTCTTGTTTGGCTGTTTCCCCTCCACAGGTTTCATCCAAGTAGATCCTATGCCCAGGTATCTGCAGGGTCTTTGAGTTCACCATGTGAACCAGGCTTCCCTTCCCCTTGTCCTGCAGAAATAGTTTGTCCTTTTAATAAGACAATTTGAAACTGTACTACAACGAAAAAAGAGGATGAAAAACTTCTACCCTTAACTCTCCTGACCTGGGGTGTCTAGTCCAGGGTCCCTCTCCTTCCTGTGGTAATTAACTGAAATCTTGATTAGCATTATCTCAGATAAGCCGTCTTTAACGTCTGCCTGCCTGAGACCCCGTCTGTGCCCGGGGGTGTCTGAGGAGTGGCCTGGCTCCAATCCTTCCCCAGATTCATCTGGTGACACCATTCCTGTGTGGTGGCATCACTGGCCCTGGCCCACGGCAGGCCGGGCACTGCAGAGTTAATGCAAAGCCTGGGTGGCACCTGCAGGGACTCCCACAGTGCCACCAGCGATGCAGAACGCCCTCGGTGCCACCCTGGGGACGGGCAGCACCAGGGCTGGGGCTGGGCAGGGCTCACTGCCCGGGCTGAGCCCTGCTCCACACAGGGCACCCTAAAGGAAACGGCTCTCCATGGACCCAGGGGAAATCTGGTGAACAGAGCAGATTGCTGAGAGCTGGTACCAAGTGGGAGAGGGCAGAGAGCCCTGGAGAGGCCACGAAGGCAGGGTGAGGAGGAGCAGGCAGGCTGGAGCACCCTGCAGCACTGCCACCATTTCCTCCAGCTACCTTCCGTCTAAGATCAGCTCTGCTGCACTTACTCTTGGCAACCAAAACAGCTGCATCTCTCTCCTTAAAAAAAAACAACAAAAAAACCCAGTGGAATCAAAGTCTCCCTGCAAATGTAACACACAGCCGACACAGAACTGATGATTTTGCTAAACTCTGACTTGCAGCAAATACTTTTTATATCATGACACTGGATTCTGATGCACAAAAGAAAATCAAGTTCTTTTCCCTCTGCATGCACCATAGTTGTCAGAATCATTGCTTCTCTTTGTTTTTTACATACAGTAACTAGGAAGAGATGCTTTATAAACCCTCTTGTTCCTCCAGTCAGGATGTCAATGAGCTATGAATAACGAAATAAAAAAAAAATCCAAATGAATGGCTAAGACCCAGCAGAGAATTTTAGCTGGGGAAGAGCAGCAGCATCAGGGCTGCATGACAATAAAGATCATTACTGCTAACAGAGCATTTCTTCCTGCTGGTGTGGTGCAGGGCACAGAGGGGCCCGGACCCGGCCTGTGCCACCCTGCCCATGCTCTGGCTGATCCCAGGGGAACTGGCACTGCTCCAGCCCCAAATGCCAAGTGATTCATCAAAGCAACGATTTACAAACGCAAGGGTGGACTCTGGTGGCATTTCTCAGGCGGTAAAAATGGGCTTCCCTTCTTTCTCCCAAGGATGCAGAATCAGTTCTTGCTCAGATTTTGTGGTGTTGTGTTTGTTTTAGGAGAGATGTGCTCTCACACAAGTGCACACACATTGACACACACACACTTCTCGTGCATTATTTGGTTGTAGCTGGATGCAGTTTTTTCCTTTTTCCCACTGCTGTGATATTAAAAGTCATAGAATCACAGAATCATTTAGGTTGGAAAAGACCTTTAGGATCATTGAGCCCAGCTGTTAAACCAGCGCTGCCAAGTCCAAATCTTTCACGCTGCTGGAGAAGGTTAATTTATTTGTTGAACACAAACAACTGGCAATGCCTTAAGCTGTTCACTGCTTCCTTTTTCTTGATACCAGCAGCTTTTCCCCTCCTGCGACCAAAGCTTTACTCACCCCTTCTTTTCAACTGATCTCCAGCATTATATTATTTATGAATAAAGGTCACCCCGTGAGGAAATGGCACATCTACTAGAAAACAATGTGCACTTTCTAAATTTGAACCGAGCCGTTTCCGTTCTTTGATTTAAGTTTAGTTACTTCCTGTGGTTTCTTGTCCTACGCCACTGCTGAATCTTTGGATTGACTCCAGGATAAATTGCACTCTTTCAATGAAATTAGAAACTGCGGCACCGAGGGCTCAGCCAGAGCGGCTGGTAAACAGCACTTCAGCTGGATATTAGTGCACTTAGTGAGCTGCACGAGTGTCTCATTACCTGTGGGAGGTGATGGATCCAGCCTGGGCGTGGGGCTGCTCCCCTGGGAGCTGCACGCTTGGCTCCCACCCTGCATTTCCCCCAGACAAGGTGCTGAGCCAGCGCTTCCACCTCCCCTGGGAGGGATGAAGGAGCCTCTGGAACAGCAGCTCCTGATGGAGAGGGGACTCTTCCTCACCAGAATCAATCCATCCTCCCACGGGCAGATCCTTGGTTAGCAAGGACAGGTGCTCAGCAAGGACAGGTGCTCAGCCCCACGCTCAAAAGCACCTCTGTACCAGGCCAAGGCTTCCACAAGCCACAATCCTGCATCAAGTTCTTAGGGATCGGGGTCAACTGGGGAAACCCTTCAAAGTTTAGAGAAATCATTTCAGGAAATTTGCTGACAAAACCACATGTGAATGTACGCCAGTAGCACCAAGATGTGCCTTCCCTCAGTAAAACCATGAGTGGGCTCTTCAGGAGCCTGCAGCCCTCCCAGGGCAGGAAGAGCTATAGATGGTCAAGGTCAGAGAGAGGGACAAGGTAGCAAAGGAGGAGAGAGGCACCTTGTACCTGAGTGCTCTGCCTCCCTTGGACACGAGTTTACCTTACAAGACCTTCAGCACAACAACCAGCCTCAGCAAGGAGCCCTTTTGGGCTGGGATTGCAGGATACCACAATAACAATGCACTCTCTCTCTCCCCCATCCCTTTTCTTTCTCTTTCCCTTCTCCCAGGACACTTAAGCACAGAATTCCCTCAGCAGCCAGACCGGTTTCTCAATGGAGCCCCGGATCCCTCACAACATCACCGTTGTCCCCAACTCTGTGATGGTGCAGCCCTTGCTGGACAGCCGGATCCCCTACGGGCGGCTGCAGCACCCTCTGACCATCCTGCCCATCGACCAGATGAAGAGCACCCACCTGGAGAACGACTACACCGACAACCCCGGTGCTGCCCAGCCGCCCGCCCAGAAGCGGCCCCGAGCCCCCCACGAGCCGGGCTCGGCCGGCCAGCCCCCGCAGCGCTGCGAGCAGGACGTCACCCACCCCTGGATCTCCTTCAGCGGGCGCCCCAGCTCCATCAGCAGCAGCAGCAGCACGTCCTCGGACCAAAGGCTGCTGGACCACATGGCCCCGGTGCCCGTGGCGGAGCAGTCGTCCCCCCGCGCCGTCCGCATCCAGCCCAAGGCCATCAACTGCAAGCCCCTGGACCTGAAGGGCCCCGCGTCCCAGGAGCTGGACAAGCACTTCCTGCTGTGCGAGGCCTGTGGGAAGTGCAAGTGCAAGGAGTGCGCCCTGCCCCGGACTCTGCCCTCGTGCTGGGTGTGCAACCAGGAGTGCCTGTGCTCGGCGCAGAACCTGGTCAACTACTCCACCTGCATGTGCCTGGTCAAGGGCGTCTTCTACCACTGCACCAACGAGGACGACGAGGGCACGTGCGCCGACCAGCCCTGCTCCTGCTCCCAGTCCAACTGCTGCGCCCGCTGGTCCTTCATGAGCGCCCTGTCCCTGGTGCTGCCCTGCCTGCTCTGCTACCTGCCCGCCACCGGCTGCGTCAAGCTGTCCCAGCGCTGCTACGACCGAGTGAGCCGGCCCGGGTGCAGGTGCAAAAACACAAACAGTGTCATTTGCAAGGCATTGCCCGAGAGCAAAGGGGCAGAAAAGCCCTTTTAATGGTGGAGCTGGGAGGATGCTCCACGGAGCAGGGTGGTGTTTTTAATAACCTGTGTTCTGAGGAGAGTGTCGGCCTCTTGCCTTCGGGGAAAGCGGAAGGAACTATTTCCACAAACTGAAGCACTTTGGGTTATTCAGGGTTTTTGGAACCGGTCGCAGTTTAAAGAGATGGGGCCAAAGGAGGAATGTTAATAACGCAGAGTGAAGGCTGCAAACCCATGTACATCATGAAGTACAGCTGCTGAAAAACTCCCAGCTCGGAGGGACGGCTGCTCACCAGGCCTGCACACCACAGGAACCATTAACTGCTCGCTTGGCAGGCACTGCCTCACAGCCAATCCCCATTCCCAGCTGCAAAAAGCTGCTTTGAATTCACAGTCAGGGCGGGCTACTTGCTTCCTGTCTCCTTCCAAACCCCAGCTCGCTCCCAGCAGCCTGTTGAAGGTGATGGGGGAACTCCCTCCACCCTCCTTCCCTGCTAGACACCGCTCCAAGGGCTGGTTGCACACCAAGTACGTGTCTCTCAAAAGCTTTCTGTGTCCCTCAAAGATTTTTGGACCAGAAGGGAAGCTACATTTCATTTGTTGATGGGTTTTCTGCCCTTTGGGTGCATCCCACGCTGCCCCACTGCTTTGGACCTTCTTTCTAAAGCAAGATGGTAGCAGGGCTGCTCCTCCCAGGAGGAACTGCAGCGGGATGTGTTCAGGCAGTTGTACCAACACCGGGTCCTCCTGCCTGTAAGCTGATCTGTGGCATCAGGTTTCACTCGATGGAATATGAGTTTTCCCTCAGCAGAGCAGCCCCTGTGCAGGAGGAAAGGGCTGATCCCGTTTCCCCCAGGTGCAGAGCAAAGGGGATGCAACTCCAGCCACAAAGCAAAGACGAGCAGGGGTTTGCTCCTCTAAACCTCTTCAGCTCTGGCAAGAAGTCCCACAAACCTAAGTGTACGATGCACATAGATGTATTTTTCTAGGGATCCCAATCCAGTACCTCCCCTCCTGGAACAAGCTCTTCTTTGCTCATTAGATATTGGGATTTGTTTTTGTCCTGGGGGTGAATGGCATTTGCTTGAAGTACAGCACATTCCCCCACCCCTATTGCTGCTGTTTGACTTTTGCCTCTTCTGTACAAAAGTGTCTTTTTCAATGTAAAGAATGCTTTTAGTGTTTATTTTAGTGTTAACACACACCAGGGGAAGGCAGGGGAAGGAAGAGAGCGCAGTTAACGAGTGGGCCCATGGTTTTCAGCATGGAAATATTGGCTCTGTCCCTGCCCTCATCCTGGGGCTGTTCTGCCTGCCCCAAGGATGCTCTGATCCCTCTCTCTTGACAACCACAAGGTGCTAAACAAGAATCCTGGTCCAGACATGCAACACTCTAATGAGTAGGTAGGTACTTGTTGCATGCAGAAAACTGACCTGGTCTCTCTTGGTGTTTTTAATTAGGGGAGATTTCCTCAGTAAATGCACAGCAGTGACAGTGAAATGTCATCTCTAATTAGACAAGCAATAGGCAGAGCTCATGTAGCATTTCCAGGAATGCTCTTGGCCTGGGCAGGAGCTGGCAGGAGTACTCTGGTGTCTTTGGGTTTCAGAATTCAGCTCAGCTGGATGGCTTGGGGTTTAGTTCAATGGAATTGTAGCTATTTATTGAATGGGGGAGATTAAAAAAAAAGAAAACCAACCAACTTTTCTATTTATAACATTTGCTAGCTTGTACATGCTGAATCAGAGAAAAAAGGATGAAATATCTGTTACCAGATACCAGTTCCTACAGGGCAGCCTCATGCTATCTGTATGTGGGCACAGGTGGGGATCCAGAGCTGCATTTATTATCTTGCACAAATTGGAGGGGAAAAGATAAAAGGAAAAGCAACCCCAAACTAGCTGAACTGTTGGTTGAATGTATAAGATATTGTATTTAATAAATCATTTTCCTAAGATACAAACAAGCTAGAAAAGGCCAGCAGGAGAGGTATTTACCCTCTGCCCTCCTCTGTTGGGACCACACTTGTCCAAATGGCCTCCACCCATGGCTGCCTTGCCTTTCTGACCCTCTGTCTCTGGGGAATTGTGCTGAAAACCCACACTGGCAGAGCCCATGGCTTGTCTGCATGGTCCTTGTGAGCAAAGGCAGCCCTGGAATGGTGGCCACCGTGCCAATCTACACTCATGTGCGTGGCCCAGCCCTCCCAGCTGGGTCCCCTCTCACTGTACATAGCTGTAAACTATTTCTCTGCTGGTTTGTTTCGATATCTCAGCCCTGTGAGCCGTGCTGGAGCCTGCCCAGCCCCGTGGATGTGTTAGAGCAGTGGTCAGTGCAGCAGAGTGAGCCTCCCTCCTGCCCTGGCTCCCAGCACGGCCCCGGGGCCCTGCCCCAGCCCAAGGCAGGGCAGGAGGGTGCTGAGCCCTGGCTGGAGCCAGGGCTGTGCCAGAGGGAGCAGCTCCCGTCAGTGAAATCCACATTCCCTCTCCTCCCCATCCCAGCGTTCCATCCCTCACTCCCTGTGAAGGTACGTGGGTCTCCTGCCACCCCAGAGATGTACCATGGGCACCCCAATGTCACAGCCCCACAGCTCTGCCAGCCTGCCAGGGCAGAGCCCCTGCTAATGAGGGACAGCTGTTAATGAGGGACAGCTGCTAATGAGGGGACAGACCTCTGCAGCCATGGCACTGAGGTGGGACACTCACAGAGGCAGGAGGGCAGGTCAGGGCAGCTGCCCCTGGCACCGGTGCCACGCTCTGGAGGAGCAGGAGGATGGCAGGGCACCTGCACTGCTAATTGCTGCAGCTCTGCTAATTGCTGCAGCAGGTTCATGGCAGGCTTTGCCCCTGCCCTCACACAACAGCCCGGACAGCCGCAAGGGGGGACCTGAGGGTGCTGGCAATGCCACGCCACATTGCCAGTCACCCTGTCACACCCTGTCACCCCAGCCCTGTGCCCACCAGGTGCCAGGAGCAGATCCCAGATCTGCCTGATGGGCCCTCACCCTTCCCAGCACTGGGAATTCCCTTCCCCTCCCACGCTCAGACACCCTGAGAAATATTTCCCCCATCTCCTCTTAGCACCCCCTCACATGTACACCCTGAAAAGTTACCACAGAAGGTTTTTCTTTGTATAGAATATTTATTTTGAAGCTCTATTTTAATAGTATTTATTTTAGAAAGTCTACTATTGTAAGAGTTCTTCTGTTTGTGAAGAAAAGCAAGTACTGATGAATGTACTGATCTAGAAATTATATATATATATAAATATATATTGTTAAATATATAAGTGGCTGTTGTGGTTCTTTAAAAAAAAAATCCCAAGAATGTTTATAGCAATTACTCTAAAAATACAAGCAGAGAGTAGCCCAGAATTGGTTATTTGATGCTCTCCAGCCCTGCCAAGGAGCTTGGGGTGATGCTGGGGTTGCTCTGCCCCACAGCCTGGCACACAGGGGCTCATCAATTCAATACCCTCAAATCCCCTGCAGTGGGAAGAGTCAGCACCAGAGAGGAGTGAACTTTAGGAGCAATCCCCTCCTTCCCTGCACCCCTAAAATTCACCACACTGGGAGTCAGGCTGCTCCTTCCACGGGGCTGAGCCCTCAGTGTGACAGGGGATCCACACTAAAGGGAGCCAAGCACAAAATCAGCAGCCCCACCACACACAGGGGTTGTGCCAGCCCACCCCACAGAGCCTCCCTCAGCACCCCAGGCCCACTTCCAGCCCCCCTGCTTCTCCTTTCCACACCAGAACAGCCCCACCAGGGCACGGGTGGGCACAGAGCCTCCTCCAGCCCAAGACATGGGGGCAGCCAGAACTCTCCCAGCTCCTCAGAAAAGGACAAGAAGCTGCCAAGGACCAACTCCTGTGTCCCTGCACAGCCCCTGAGCCACATCCTGGGGCTCCCACCCACCAGCACCCAGCACCCTCCTGCCCCCAGCTCCTCATGTGTCACCAGCATCGCACTGGACTGCTAAAAATACAGGATCCGGGTTATTTTTCACCATTCCTGTTATTTATTTGCACACACTGTGGGGCTGTGACTCACTGGAGGCTGTGCCATGTTTTGTGTCATCACAGAGGTAACCTGAGTGTGTTACCTGGCCTGAAATAATATTATTGAAACAATAATGTTGAATTAGTCAATGGATCAGATAAAGACACAATAACTACACTGTGCAGATCATGACATCGGGTGCCAGAAAATTTGCAATAAGGAAAAGATACTGAATTTGTTATGCTGGGGGAGGTTTTTCTTTTTTTTTTTTTTTTTTTTTTTAACAAACAGGCTGAGCCAGGATGTATAAATTTAAATCAGAGTTTGGCAACACCAACTGATGTCTTGCACATAAAGCTTTAAAAATACCAACACGACACTCATGTCTCTCTGCTGGAAGCGAACCAGAGCACTCTGCTTGATTTGAGCAGTAGATGTTAAAGCAATATTTTTTTAAATCTATCAGAATTATCAGCTTTTTTTTTGATCCTTTTTTACATCATTTTCAGTTATTGGCTCTCAAAGGGAACCAACTCCAATTGCACAAGCTCAGGCTATGGATGATGAAGAGATGCACAGAGCTAAGAGTACAACAGACTTCCCAGGCCCTAGAGCAAGCCCAGCTCTTGGATATCAGACCTGAAAGGGAATTTCTAAAGAATCAAAACACCCTAAAAATACCCTAAACCAATGTATTAATTCTGAGAGCATGGGCTGAGATTTATAGAAATTATGGACTTACAGAAATAAGTGACCAGATTGAGCAGGTTGCATCCCTTGATCCCTTTCAACCCAAACCATTCTGGGATTCTACAAAATGAGATAAAAACCTAAGTTTTAATTCCTTTTAAAACTGTTTTTCTAAAATGTACATTTAATAAACACAATGAGATTTTCCCAAAGGTCTGAGTGTTGCAGACAGGTAAAATATGTTATAAAAGAAAAGGCCTTATGAAATCAGGCCTTGCTCTGCTAGGCTGTCACTTCTTCTAATTGCAGACAACTTGCAAGTTCCCATATGAAACAATCTTGGGTATGAAAATTTTGTGAA